GGCCCCAGTTCCTGAACTTTCCACAAAGGACACCTCCGGGTGTCCTCCATACTGGAGAGGTGAATGAACTGGTATCACAGACACGCAAAACTGCTTGAAAGTGATGCCTCGGGCAGAGCCTCTGAAACTGAGGACTACACTGAGTGATTCTGTTTACACTGAGAACCCTAGGACAGGAGGCCTGCAGTGAGAGGTCACGCTGGGGGCCCTGCTAACCCGACTGCCTGACCGGTGTGAAGTCCTGCTTGGGGTGTCCCAACCACTGCAAACAATGTGCTTCCAAGGGGACTGACCCCTGTCCCCTTGTGGGGGGGACTTATTTTGTACTTACCCTGGCACTCAGGGCACTGCCTTGTCCCTGGAAGACACTCAGGTCTAAGTTCGACTTACTGGCCAGAGCTATGCTGTGCAGGAACTGGTGCCTCTCTCCAGTAAAAAACAGTAATGGGGGCAGGAAGAGAATAATCCAGAAACTTCATAAGCAACCTGGTTTTCTAAGACCTTTGTGGTCCAAATATATGAACAAAAGCTCAACACCACTAATCATCAGAGAAATGCAAATAAAAAGCACGATAAGATACCATCTCACACCAGTCAGAAGGGCTGTTATCAAAAAGTTAAAAAAATAACAGATGTTGGCAAGGCTGTTAAAGAGAATGCTTTTACGTGGTTGGTGGGAATGTAAATTAGTACAACCTCTAAGAAAAACAGTGTGGAGATTTCTCAGAGAACTAAAAGCAGAACTACCATTCAGTCCAGCAGTCCCACTACTGGGCGTCTACCCAAAGGAAAAGACACCATATTCCACCAAGAAACACATCACCTGTGTGTTCACTGCAGCAGCTTCACAGCAGCAAAGCTATGGAGTCAACCTAGTGACCACAGACAGCGGACTGAAGAAAATGTGGTCCATCTACACCATGGAATACGACACAGCCACAAGAAAGAATGAAATCGTGACCTTTGCAGCAACGTGGATGCAGCTGGAGGCCATTATCCTCAGCAAACTGATGCAGAAACAGAAAACCAAATATGGCATGTTCGTTCTTGTAAGTGGGAAGTCAAACTCGGGTACACATGGACATAAAACTGGAAACAATAGACGCTGGGGATTCCAAATGGAGGGACAAGGGGGAAAGGGCCGACAAACTTCCTCATGGCTACGATGTCCACTATCTGGGTGACAAGCTCAATGGAAGCCCAAACCTCAGCATCATACAATATTCCCTTGTAACCTGCACATGTGCCCCATGAATTGGAAATAAAAATGGAAATTAAAAAAGTAGTAATTCTGGCCGGGCGCGGTGGCTCAAGCCTGTAATCCCAGCACTTTGGGAGGCCGAGGCAGGCGATCACGAGGTCAGGAGATCGAGACCATCCTGGCTAACACAGTAAAACCCCGTCTCTACTAAAAATACAAAAAATTAGCTGGGCGTGGTGGCGGGCGCCTATAGTCCTAGCAACTCGGAAGGCTGAGGCAGGAGAATGGCGTGCACCTGGGAGGCAGAGTGTGCAGTGAGCCGAGATTGCGCCACTCCTCTCCAGCCTAGGTGAGAGAGAGAGACTCCGTCTCAAAAAAAAAAAAAATAATAATAATAGTTCCATTGCAGCCAATGCAGCCAATGGAATTTACCTTAACTGGCTAAGTCCAGGAGCCCTAAAGAGCACAAGTGAAATCAATACTGCAGTGTAGTCTCATCCTACTTCATAGGGTCCTCCCATGATTCTGTGGTAAAAGACCCCTGTCCAGTGGCCTAGGGCGTGAACTGCAGGAAGTACCAACCCAAAGACCTGAGGGCCCCTAACCTTAGAAAGTGCTGCCTGCAAAGCTGGCCCCTGGCTGGCCTAAGGGAGCCAGGATTTGGGGAGGGTTGTCCTCCCGACAGAGGAGTTGCTTACTGTGCTGAAACTGTTTATGCAACAATGTGTTTACCCTAAAGATCTGCTTTCCTCCTGGGTGTCTGAAATCTTGGCACAACCAGGCACAGGGTACCTCTGTGACCAGCTGCCAATTTTAAAACACCCTGGTTGGGGGCATGGTGGTTCACACCTATAATCCCAGCACCCTGGAAGGCTGAGGCGGGCAGACCACCTGAGGTCAGGAGTTCGCCCTGTATCTACTAGAAATACATAAAAATGGCCAGGCGCGGTGGCTCCCGCCTGTAATCCCAGCACTTTGGGAGACTGAGGTGGGCGAATCACAAGGTCAGGAGTTCGAGACCAGCCTGGCCAATATGGTGAAACCTCGTCTCTACTAAAAACACAAAAATTAGCCGGGCATGGTGGCAGGCGCCTATAATCCCAGCTATTCAGGAGGCTGAGGCAGGAGAATTGCTTGAACCCAGGAGGCAGAGGTTGCAGTGAGCCAAGTTCCTGCCATTGCACTCCAGCCTGGGCGAAAAGGGCGAAACTCCCTCTAAAAAAAAAAAAAAGAGAGAGAGACAGAGAGAGGAAAGAAAGAGAAAGGAAAAAAAGAAAAGGAAGAAAAATTAGGCAGGCCTGGTGGCAGGTGCCTGTAGCCCCAGCTACCTGAGAGGCTGAGGCAGGAGAATCGTTTGAACCCAGGAGGCAGAGACTGCAGTGAGCTGAGACAGCACCACTGCACTCCAGCCTGGGCAATAGAGCGAGACCCTGTCTCAAAACAAAACAAAACAAAACAAAAACAAAAACAAAGTAAAGGAACACAGCCCTGAGGCAGCCCCTGTGTTTGGGGAAATCTCATCAGTGCCAGGGCCAGCATTACAGATGATGAACACTTGAATATATCGAGCGGGGACAAATCATCATCTAAACAAGAAAAATCTCTTGTATTCTACCTATTTCAGGAACACAAAAAATGTATTATAGAATTAAGGAAAGGGTACTGCAGTATTGGAAGCAGAACAGAATCATCCACTGTCAAAAATTCTCTACCATGTCAAGGAGAATAACTGACATTTTGGTAAATTTTTATAATTTATCTGCAACATGTTTCGTGGCAATGTATTCATTTTTCTGCACCTATGGTGAAAAGGAGATTTTCTCTGTTTCTCTGAGATTCTTCTCCCCAGTAACATTCTGAAGTCTAGGCCCTGGAATCCTATTTGTTGTCATTCAAAAGAAAAGAACAAGGCTGGTGGAGGTAGGAGAATCACCTGAGCTCAGGAGTTTGAGACCAGCCTGGGCAACAAAGTGAGCCCCCATCCCTAAAAACAAAAAAATACAAAAACTTAGGCAGGCATGGTGGTACACACCTGGATTCCCTGTGTTCAGGAGGCTGAGGCAGGAAGATTGCTTGAGCCCAGGAGGTGGAGGCTGCAGTGAGCTGTGATCACAACACTGCACTCCAGCATGGGCAACAGAGCTCTCAAAAAAATAATAGTAATAAAAGAAAAAAGAAAGTAACAGATCTGAGAAACTTACTACACACACTTCAGGGAATGTTTAACAAATGGAATGTAAGACGACCATTTTAATTTTTTTCCTGAAACTCACCGTGTTGGAATTATTATTATCATTTTTTGAGACGGAGTCACGCTCTGTCCCCCAGGCTGGAGTGCAATGGAGCATTTCCAGCTCACTGCAAGCTCCGCCTCCCGGGTTCATGCCATTCTCCAGCCCCAGCCTCCCGAGTAGCTGGGACTACAGGCGCCCGCCACCACGCCCAGTTTATTTTTGTATTTCTAGTAGTGATGGGGTTTCTCCATGTTGGCCAGGCTGGTCCCCAACTCCTGATCTCAACGAATCTGCTCACCTCGGCCTCCCAAAGTGCTGGGATTACAGGCGTGAGTCACCGCGCCCAGCCTGGAAATATTTTATCTTCCAACTTCTATTAATTAAATGTACGTTTCACTTACTAAAAACTGAGACTCGAAAAAGTTAAAATCTTTTCACAGTGACAAACCCAGGGAGGGGTCAAGCCTGGCCAGGCTACCACGAGGGACGCCCTCCCACCCCCAATTCAGGTGTTCCCTCAGCAAGGAATCCCATTGCCAGTACTCAAAACTGATCTGAGAAACTTCCTGAAATCCACAGTTTCCAGGGAACCGTGAAAGAATATATTTCCGTGGTTTTAGCCCCCTCGTCTGCAGTCAGTTGCTACAGCAGTCCGAGGACACTAATGCATCAGCCTCCGGGGCGTCGCCGCTATGGGTCTGCGTGCATTTGCTTTTGGAGGTCCTCGCTCTCCCTTGTTTCTCTAGTCTCTTCAGTTACTCTTACTTCCTTGTGTGTGAGAACCCAGGGACCAGGAACCCTTGTTTTTTTCCCCCTTACCTACCCCAGGCATCTTGGGGTCAGAGGGGACAAGAAGTCCCCAAGAAGGAAAACTGGGACTCAGGGGAGGAAACCTCGCGCGCCCCAGGCCCCAGGGGCTGCCTTTGCAAGTTGGGGCTCCAGAGACGCCCCCAGCCCGCCCCCGGCGGCTCCGTTGAGGTCCCCACCGCTCCTAGGCTGTCCCGGGAGGAGCCCGGGGTCCCCCAGAGACCGCAGCCGGGGGCGCGGGGTCTCCCAGGAGCTGAGCTGCGGGAGCGCGGGAGGAGGCGGCACCGACCAGGGACCCGCACCCCAGGAGGCCCCGCGGCGTAGGCCCCAGGGCGGGTCCCGGGGGAGCCAAGGACCGCACCGCGGGGTCTCGGGCGACTCTGCCTCCCGCGACCCGGGCGTCCCAAAGCCGCAGCCAAACGCTCAGAGGCGCCGCGGCCCCGGGCGGGGCGTGGGGGTCGGGAGCGCAGGGACGCGGGAGCCCCGGGACGACGGGGAAGGGGTCGGGCTCCGGGCGCCGCTCCCCGCTCTGCAGCCTCGGGGCCAGAGGCGGGCGGGGATCCGAGGCTTGGAGCGCCCGAGCCGCGGCCTCAGCGCGGGAGGCGGGGCCCGGCGGGTCCCCCGGGGCCCAGGCGCTTGTCCTGCACGGCCCTCGCCGGGGACGCCCCGCGCGTCCCTCAGCTCAACCCAGCCGCGGTCTCAGGCGGCCGCCGCTTCCTGCCGCCCCGCACCGGGATAGTCTCCCGCGCCGCACTCACCATGTCCCGGGGCGATTTCTCCGCTACCGGCGCAGGTGAGCAAGACAGGAACAGGGACGCCGGGGACCGCTAGGGACAGGCGGGACACTCACGGCTAGGAGGACGGAGACGTCCCGTCCCAGGGGCCTGATTGGACAGAGCTTGGGGAGCCGCGCCTCTGATTGGACAGTGCTGCCAACGTCAGCGACTCTGATTGGAGAACTTCCCGGTCCGTCCCCTGGCGCTGTAATTGGGAAGGTCCCGGATTCCGATTGGACGTCCCTGATTGGATACACGTCTCGGCCCCGCCCCTGCCCGTCCTGATTGGCTAGTTCCCTAGGACCCACCCCTGCCGCCTGAGTGACGGGAGCGACGCGAACACGCGTGGCTGTCCCGCCCGGCGGGGACACTGGCTTCTGGGCGAACTGGTTCCAGCCCGAGGCGGACCCGCCCTCTCCCCGCAGCTCGGGCGCCCCGCCCGCGTCCTCCCCCGGGACGGGCGTGGGAACTCCAGACTCAGTTTCCCCACGGAGCGACGCCTTGTCTGGCCAGGATGTGGAGACCAGCGGCCGGCCTGGGCCTCGCAGGGCGAGCGGGGGATTGGCGCGTGGTCCGTAGGGCTGATACCTACGTGGGGGCGGGGTCCGCATCCATGACGTCATCGCGCTGTCCCGCGTGGGCGCGGCCGCCGTGGAGGCCCCTCCCGGGGGGCTGGGGATCCGGAGACCCCGCCTGGGGGAGGCCGAATCCGAAGCCTGGCGGGGGCAGGAACTTTGCTCAAATCAACCAGATGTTCATTAAAACCCTCAAGTGTGGCCGGGCGCAGTCGCTCACGCCTGTAATCCCAGCAGTTTGGGAGACCGAGGTGGGCGGATCATCTGAACCAGGAGTTCGAGACCATCGCGGCCAACATGGTGAAACCCGGTCGCTACTGAAAATACAAAAATCAGCCCGGCGTGGTGCCGGGCGCCTGTAATCCCAGCTACTGGGGAAGCTGGGGCAGGAGGATTGCTTGAACCCGAGAGGCAGAAGTTGCAGTGAGCCGAGATCGCCCCACTGCACTCTAGCCTGGGCGACAGAGTGAGACTCTATATTTAAAACAAAACAAAACAAAACAAAACAAAACAAAAAAAACCTCTCAAGTTCATATTTTAAACTGTAAGGAAAACTTTTTCAGATCATTTAAGTGCATCCCCAATTTGGAAGATTAAAAGGCTGGCCGGGCGCGGTGGCTCACACCTGTAATCCCAGCACTTTGGAAGGCAGAGGCAGGCGGATCACCTCTGAGGTCAGGAGTTCGAGACCAGCCTGGCTAACATGGCAAAACTCCGTCTCTCCGAAAAATACAAAAATTAGCCGGGCATGGTGGCACGCACCTGTAATCCCAGCTAGGGAGGCTGAGGCAAGAAAGTCGCTTGAACCTGGGGAAGCGGAGGTTGCAGTGAGAGGAGATCATGCCACTGCACTCCAGTCTGGGGGAGACAGCAAGCCTCCGTCTCAAAAAAAAAAAGTCTATGATATTGCACAATAGGAATTTTAGACTTAAAAATGAAGATTGTAAATTTTTGTTATTTGTATTTTACTACAATTTTTTAGATGTTATATTTAAAACAGAAGACTATTTCTAAGGATATTGAATCCTTATTTTAACTAATATAAAAAAACACGCAAAAGTTTAAATGAATTTGATTGAACCTTAGGAGGGAAGTGACTTTTAAAAAATTTTTGGTTTTTTGAGACAGAGTCTTGCTCTGCCACCCAGGCTGGAGTGCAATGGCAGGATCCCAGCTCACTGCAAACTCCACCTCCAGGGTTCAAGTGATTCTCATGCCTCAGCCTCCCGAGTAGGTGGGACTACAGGCCCGCCCTGCCACACCCGGCTAATTTCTTTTCTCTTTTTTTTGGAGTTTCGCTCTTGTTGCCCAGGCTGGAGTGCAGTGGCGCAATCTCGGCTCACCGCAATGCCTGCCTCCCGGGTTCAAGCAATTCTTCTGCCTCAGCCTCCCCAAGTAGCTGGGATTACGGGCATGCGCCATCACGCCCGGCTAATTTTGTATTTTTAGTAGAGACGGGGTTGCTCCATGTTGGTCAGGCTGGTCTCAAACTCCCGACCTCATGTGATCCGCCTGCCTCGGACTTGCAAAGTGCTTGGATTACAGATGTGAGCTACCATGCCCAGCGTTAAATTTTTTTAAAAAAAGGAAAAAAAATTGTGATAGACCTGAAAACACTGAATACACTTAATAGACGGGGACTGAAAACCAAACACGGTTAATGGCTGCTTATTTCAGAAAACTCCATAGCTTAAGTGGTTGTTCAAACACTGATACTGACATTTCATTTAGAAACAGAATTTTAAAAATTCATTTTTATCTTTCCTAGAAAGGTTTTACACACTTTAATAAAAATTAATGTTTAGAGGATTGACACAGGAAAGCAGTTTCCAGTTAAAAATAATGTGCCCCAGCGCAGTGGCTCTAATCCCAGCACTTTGGGAGGCCGAGGCAGGTGGATCACCTGAGGTCAGGAGTTCGAGACCCTTCAAGACCATCCTGGCCAACATGGTGAAACCCCGTCTCTAACAAAAATACAAAAAAAATTAGCTGGGCGTGGTGGCGCATGCCTGTAATCCCAGCTACTCGGGAGGCTGAGGCAGGAGAATTGCTTGAACCTGGAGACAGAGGTTGCAGTGAGCTGAAATCTCACCACTGCACTCCAGCCTGGGCAACGTAGTGAGACTCCATCTCATGCTGGAGGGAGACAGCAAGACTGAAAACAGTGTAGTCAGGAGACCTCTAAGTCAACTCAAGAATATGCCGAGCCGGGCGCAGCAGCTCACGCCTGTCATCCCCGCACTTTGGGAGGCTGAGGCGGGCAGATCACGAGGTCAGGAGATCGAGACCATCCTGCCTAACACTGTGAAACCCCGTCTCTACTAAAAATATTTTAAAAATTAGCTGGGCATGGTGGCGGGTGTCTGTAGTCCCAGCTACTCGGGAGGCTGAGGCAGGAGAATGGCGTGAACCCGGGAGGCGGAGCTTGCAGTGAGCCGAGACTGCGCCACTGCACTCCAGCCTGGGCGACAGAGCGAGATTCCGTCTCAAAAAAAAAAAAAAAAGAATATGCTGAAAGCTACAGATGCTTTCCCCAAAATACACATCAATGCAGCAGCACACGCTTTGCATCCAGTTCAAAGTTGTTCAGAGCCCCTAAAGAAACTTCCTCATCAACCCAACAGGGTCTAGACTAACCGTGGATCAAGGATCTCTAAGGAAAAGCAACATGTTCCATTTAGGTGCAAGGAGATCTGATGGGCAACCTCCCTCATTAGCTCAAGGAAAAAGGGAAGATTCACAGGAAAGTTAGATGACTCCAAAGAGGAAATTTGTACATTTGTTTTGAGACAGGGTCTTGCTCTGTCCGTCAGGCTGCAGCGCAGTGGTACACTCACAGCTCACTGCAGCCTCGGCCTCCTGGGCTCAAGCAGTCCTCCCACCTCAGCCCCCAGAGTAGCTGGGATCACAGGCGTGAGCCACCGTGCCTGGCTAATGTTTGTATTTTATACAGAGACAGGGTCTTTGTTGCCTGGGCTGGTTTTGAACACCTGGGCTCAAGTGATCCTCCCACCTCAGGCTCCCAAAATACTGGGATTACAGCTGTGAGCCACTACACCCAGCTTACCAAGAGAAAATGTGGAGAACAGTTCCCCTGCTTGGTGGCCTGGCAAATGAGGAGCTGGCTTTGTACAGGGTGCTCAAGGCCAAATCCAGAGGCCACCACTTTTCTTTTTTCTCTTTGCGATAAAGTCTCACTGTCACCCAAGCTGGAGTGCAATGGTGCCATCTCGGCTCACTGCAACCTCCACCTCCTGGGTTCAAGCTATTCTCATGCCACAGCCTCCTGAATAGCTGGGCCTAGAGGCACGCACCACCACGCCCAGCTAATCTTTTTTTTTTTTTTGAAACAGAGTTTTGCTCTTGTTGCCCAGAGCTGCAGCGCAATGGTGCTATCTCGGCTCACAGCAACCTCCGCCTCCCAGTTTCAAGCAATTCTCCTGCCTCAGCCTCCCAAGTAGCTGGGATTACAGGCATGGGCCACCACGCCCGGCTAACTTTGTATTTTTAGTAGTGACGGGGTTTCTCCATGTTGGTCAGGCTGGTCTCAAACTCCCGACCTCAGGTGATCCGCCCATCTTGGCCTCCCTAATTTTTTATTTTTTGGTAGAGATGAGGTTTCACCATGTCGGCCAGGCTGGTCTCCAACTCTTGACCTCAAGTGATGCACCCGCCTCAGCCTCCCAAAGTGGTGGGATTACAGGCCTGAGCAATCCTGCCCAGCCAGTTCCACTACTTTCTAATTGTGTGACCTTGAGCAAATCATTTCTGTTTTGTCTTCCGTAAAATGGAATGTGAATAGTGATTATCTCATGGGGTCATGAGGGCTAAATGAAGAACCACATGGAAGTACTTGGCTGGTGCTTGGTATACAGTAAGCATCCAATACATGTTCATGACCATAATGCACATCAGCACTCTTGGTCTTGATTTTGCCAGGGATAAGTCACAAGTGGGACTCTTCCCAGGCCACCAAAGGTCATTCCGCCCTTTATGTCCCAAAGTCTACTATACTGTGTCCCTACTAGGTAGGTATCCACAGTCTACCCTGACTCATCAATGAGGTTCTGTATCCTTAACAATTTTGGGTGCTATTTGGTTTTTATTCATTATCAAAATGATTATAGCAATACAAAATGAAATGGCAAAAGATAAAATCACTAGAAGGGAGTGGTGGCTCACGCCTGTAATCCCAGCACTTTGGGAGGTTGAGGCAGGCAGATCACTTGAGGTCGGGAGTTCCAGACCAGCCTGACCAACATGGAGAAACCCCGTCTCTACTAAAATACAAAAATGTAGCCGGACGTGGTGGTGCGTGCCTGTAATCCCAGCTACTTGGGAGGCTGAGGCAGGAGAATTGCTTGAACCCGGGAGGCAGAGGTTGCGGTGAGCTGAGATTACGCCACTGCACTCCAGCCTGGGCAACAAGAGTGAAACTCTGTCTCAAAAAAAAAAAAAAAAAAAAAAAAAGATGCAAAATCACACATAATCAGAACACCCCAATAATCACGTAAATGATTCTTCACATCTCTGTTCAGCCTTTGTCCTTCTGTGTATGGATCA